GTCAGCGTAAAAATGAAAGCTGAGGCCATGTGATCTTAAAAGCTGACCAAGTGGGAACATGTAAGTGTTGAAGGGTAAGGGGTCCAGTATTGAGCCCTGGGGGACACCAGACTTGACAAGACCAATTTCAGGCCTGAACCCATTGAGAGAGAAAGTGACAGCGATCAGTGAGGTAAGATTTAAACCATGTGAGGGCAGTGTCAGAAACTCCAAACACAGTCTCAAGACGAGAAAGTAAGATTTTATGGTCAAGAGTGTCAAAGGCAGCACTGAGATCAAGAAGGATGAGTATGGAAAGAGAACCAGAATCAGAAGCTATTAGGAGATCATTGGTGACTTTGACCAGGGCGGTTTCTGTACTGTGAAGTTCACGGGGTTCGAAAAGGTTGTTAGTCATGAGGTGGTTATGTAACTGAAGTGTGACAGCATGTTCTAGAATTTTAGAGAGAAAGGGTAAGTTGGAGATGGGGCGGAAGTTGTTAAGATTGTCGAGAGCCATGTTAGGCTTCTTTGGCACTGGGGTAATAGCAGTAGTTTTGAGAGCAGTGGGAGACAAATGAGTCATTTGCAATAATTAGATCTAAGGTGTGTCCATTAGTCCCTTTCACCAATGAGCTTAAATCAACAGCATCAACGTGCTCTTTAAACCTTACAGTGCTATAAGCCGTTTGCAGTGGGGCGCTCCAGGCCGTTTTTTGTTAGCTGTTTGGTCAAGCCAAGTCAGAACCAACCTGAAAAGATCCAGCCACACAAGCCCTCTAGTCCTGGCTTGGGTATAGATGTGGCAACATACAGGTTTAACACACTTTGTCTTGCATGGACATAAGACCGTAACAGCAACTAGCAGTATTGCAGGAGAAAAAGTAAAGTTGAAGCCTAGTCTCATTATGTTTAGAAAGCCTCATCAGTCTGGTCAGTGAGTCTCCAGTATTCTAGACATCCGCAACGAAGGTATTGTGGTCAAATTCAAAAACCCTGAAGCAGTACTGCCAAAAACATTTAATGAGCAGTACCAAATATTTTCATGTAGGTATATCTCTCCGAGCTCCTCTTCTTCAACTCTTCTGTCTACTGTACATAACCTCTCACACCACAGCTCGTCACTTAATCAGAAAAGACCTGTGCAACCACCATGCGGAATTATTTTCCACTGAATTCGTTTATCGTTAATGCTCTGCTTTAAAATGCAAAACCAGATCACTGCCCTTCAACAAGAGGTGTTTTCTTGTAACCTTGTTCATGCAAGATATCAAGTATATTTCTTGAACAATGAAAAGAGCTCAAATGCCCAGACAGCCACAGTACACCACACAGCTTTGGCAAAAGGGCTTTGCTCCCTTTTTAAGTCACGTATTAAGAGAACTGAAAGGCAACAGTAATATTTCACTGGAGTCCACAAGGAGGAAGGAATCCCTGCTATTGTAGCCGATGCTGGACTTTAGAGACTCACCAGTAGACATTCTGGGGGTCGGGAGCATAGGTGACATTCCAGTTGTGGACATGGAGGCTCTCGCTGTGTGTAGAGGACCTGGGCTCCCTCCTGCACTTGCAGCCCTGGCATTGGCAGGCGTTGAAATCCTTCAGGATGCTGTGCAGAACAGTGGGACACAGTGAGCACAGTGAAGAGGCAGATGGGGCGCAGGGCTGCACAGTTTTAAGAATGTAAGGGGTCAGAAATATTCATTTCTTTGTGAATATACACCATGAACCACTTGGACACTTGAAAGTCTTTAATTTTTTTGCTTTAGTAAGTAACAATCCATGAATACTACTTTAACAAGAGATATTCAAGATGATCGTGTTTTTTAACTACTAAAGCAAAGCACTTAATTTTGGATTGAGAGTGAGTGTCCTTAGTATAAAAAGGCCAGAACAAATATGGAACGTATCAGTGCTGATCGGCTACTGCCTTTCCGTCTTGTTGCAGCTCTGTTGGCTTGAAAGAGAAAGAAATGCTGACGACACTAGTCTGGGAGGCAGGAGGATCACGAACTTTACTGTCACCGCTTACTAGGAGCTGCAATCTCAAAGAGTTGCAGAATGCTGTTAAAACCGGAGGAACTGATGTGACAAACGATATGGTGCAAATTCCTGATATAGTGCACAGTAGGAACTCCTGTGGGCTCCTTGCAGCCTGTGAGTGTGCAGTGTTGCTAGCAAGAGCTACATCTGGTTCTGGGACATTTACTGGTTCTTGACAGAGAAAGGTCTTCCCTTTACGCAAGTTACACAATTCTGGTTATAGACATATTTTAAAACATAGTGGTTCTGTAACTGTGGAGGGGGTTACAGCAGAACGACAGAACACGAATTACCACTGCTCAGTGGGGGCAGACACTCCTCACTCACATATCCCACTGAGCACCGGGCACAGAAGTCAGCACAGCCCGTTACCAAGTACAGATTCAGAACCATAGGCCTTTCAAAACAAAAAAACTATCGACTGTCATTTTTTTTACATGATGATAATTTTGAGGGAACGAGAGGTTCAGGAAGAAAGCACTGTCCTTACATCGCAGTCATGGCTTCGTTCTGGAACGTGACGAAGGCCATCCCCAGGGGCTTGGTGTTCACCTTCTCCTTCTCCGTGCGGTACTCCTCCTTCAGCTTGGCTGCCAGCTTGGTGTAGTAACTGACAGCCTCCTCCTGGGTGAGGCAGGAAGGAGACCGCAGGAGGGTTAATGATAAAGAGTCTGTTTCCAGGCCTAGAGTTTTTATCATCATTTAAAGTTTGTATCATCTACACATTCCTGCCTTTTCACTTCTTACTCATCTTGATTTAAACACTTGTTTTGTGTTTCAAAAAACATTTCTGGAGTTCTGAGAATCTGCATGTACTTCTAACAGAGGAAAGTGTTCTTTGTAATTTCCAGTCTTCTTGATATGTGAAGTACTGGTGGAAAAATGTTTTCAATAGACAAAACAAAATTAAAAACTAAGCAATTTCCCATAACATTCAAGTTTGTTATTCCTGCTTTAATTCCAGGAAGTCTTTTTGCTGAGGTTTTACCTGCCATGGACCAATATCTCATCAGTTTAAACTTTAACTTTTAGATGCACTTAGTCTTGTGAAGGGCCTTAACTCTCCAAACCCCCAGGACCCTCTCCTTCACCTGTCCATAGAAGTGCACGTCTGAAGAACCAAGCTCACCACAAGACTCCCTTCTGTGCCCAAACAATCCAGCAGCACTGCAATAAGTACAATAGGTTCCTGGAACCACAAAAGTTGTAGAGAGTGTACAGAGCTCTCCTATCCATTAATCAGAGAGCACATTCAGTGCTTCACAAGAGTCCTTTTTATGGCCTAGAAGTGGTTTTGGCCAGGGTGAGATCTGGGGCCCTGCTGCTGCTGCCTGGAGCACTTTTAGCCTTTACCTCCTCACAGCCCTTGATAACACAACAGCAGAGGTGACCGCAGGGCTTGGGGTTGATCATGGTGCACATGTGCTCTTTTTCCATCAAGTCTGTGAAGAACTTCTTGCTGCGCTCTGCCTTTTTCCTGAAAATAACAGAGGTGCAAATACATAAATACGTGTCTGAATCTGTACAGGTACACATGCGTAAGTTGTACATATAAAAAGAAACAAGAAACCTCTAGGAGGTTTCTAGGCATTCCTCCTTGGAAGAAAAGCACAAGGATCATGGACATTGAAAATGCATGGAAAAAGTAAATGTTATGTTTCTTTTCTTCTCTTTTCAGCATGGAATAAACCTTTACTTGTTCCTCTGCAGCCTACACATGCTGATGCAGCTACCTACTGTACTTGAACTAATGCATGGAAAAAGTTTATAGAGGTGCCAAGAAATTCCTTACACAAGAGGGTGAGAAGCCTGTGGAGATTCTTACAAAGATTTATGGCCACGTCATAGAGAATGGGAGACTCAAGATGTTTAAAGAGACAGATCGGTCTGGGTGGTGCTCTGAGGTCTAAATGGATGGCAGCTGGCTGGTAAGTCATGTAGAGATAACTCATCTCTGTCACCTGTTGCAATGATCAACATCTTGAGTTTCCTATAAAACACCAAATACTTGATAATTTACCACCTCATCTGATTTGTAATTTAACACTTTGGGGGAGGATTTACCATTATTAGTGACGCATTTTACAGCCCGAGTTAGCGTGACCTAGTCCTTTATGCTCAAATAGAGACTGATGTCAAATTGTTGTTGTGCACACTAGCAATTTAAAATTTAATTCCTTTTAAATGAAGTTTCAATAAAATTCTGATACAGCAGCTTTCTGTCATACTAATTCGATGTTTCGCAGATGTAGGCATAGTACGTAATTCAGGCTTTATGAACTCACACCTAGGATTCGATTAATTATTTTTTTTGTAAAAACTGCACCAGGTACTAGATCCCAAATTTCCCATTGGCCCTTATCAATCATGGCCTCCTAATAATCCCCACCTATGAATTGGCTTCATTACTCTGTTCTCCTCCCCACTGATAGCTCATAGCTGGTGTGTGGTGAGCGTTCTGGCACACTATGGCTGCCGTCGCATCATCCAGTTACCCCATTACCTGTAAAGCGCTTTCAGTGGAGTGTCCAGAAAAGCGCTATATAAGTGTAAGCAATTATTATTATTATTAAGCCATCATGCCACAGATGTAATCACGTGGAAAAGAGTGAAACTGAAGCAGACATTTCCAAAGACAGTGCACTACTGTGAGCATCTGAGCTACAGTACATGAATATAATTATATCGTTGTTAATTTCTTTAGATACGTGATTCCATATTATATTCCCTATTAATCAAATTCTAAAAGTATGCTTTTGTTTACTCCGATAACGAGCTTATTCGCAGAAAAGGTTAAAACATTATCACTTTTCACAAAGAATATAAACTTAATATGGTCAGAAGAAGCACGTAAAAAAGTTTCCAAAATAACCACGTGCAAGACTTTGATGCTTAAAATGTTTAGGGAGAAAATGGAATACCGGTGTGTATTTTTTCTTTAAACTGCCAATTCCAGCCATATACAGTTTACATAATATGTTTATGTTCCTAATTTAATATCGTTTATGAGCATCTGAAAGGCTTGGTGAATCGGAGATTCTCAAAACTTACTTTGTATGATTGGAAACGAATACATGATCGGATCAACGAAATGCTGTCGTGTTACTTTTTGTCAATGAAAAAATAATGTATTTTCGTTTAGAAAGACAGTTACAAAGAAAGTGGACTACGGTAATACTATGAGCTTACAGCCTGTCCAAGGTCATTCATTATTAATACTATTAGTAATATCTTCCGTAAAGACTTTGATGCATAAAATATTTCTGCATAATCAAAATATTTATGATAAAGGTGGTAGGTTGTGTAGGTTGTGAGCAATCTTGCTTTTATAAAATATACCAACTTTTTAATGTTTAATGATTAACATGCTCTAATACACAGTTTAAAATTAAAAGTCTAAAGAGTAAACAACTTAAATTCGTAATTGGATATTGTACCTCAGCAGTGATCCTGATTTGAAACCGGGTGTTTAAGAGGTTAAGCTTTATAAGATCCACCTGGCGGTGATTCCAGATACTATTATCGTAACTGCGGTATTATACGGTATGACACGATATGACGTGTTATGACGATTGTGATGCGACGCACCCACCGCGTTGTACCGCAGCGTACCTCGCTCGTTTTGAATGGCTGCATCTGTATTGCCAATTCTGCATATACACCAGGAGCAATTATAATCACTGTCCTGTTTCAGAAAATCAGTCTGGCAGCGCTCATTCAGACTTTTCATTTATCCTCCCTCACTTGATGGCTGAAAACCACTGAGTGGCATGCAGTGGAACCAGCGACAATGAAACTGGACAGGAGATCCTGTATAATGCACCATAATGGAGGCCCAGCTGCAGTTCACGCAGTTAAGGATCGCTGGTTCAACCTGCCCACAGGAAACAGCTGGGACATAATGCGATGAGGCCAGATTGAGAGCTGTGGATAAAAGCACATTCGTCTGAAAGGTGCAGAACGTTTCGGACACATTTTACCTCTCAGCGTCAAGGGACATCAGCTTGGCCACGTTGTAGCACAGCCGCGCTTCCAGGACTTTGCAGTTATCATAGGCATGTCTGTTCAAGACAATCATACAGAAGTGGATCACAATTCTGAACCACTTTAAAGAGGATCCATTACTTATTTTGAAAACATTAATTACAGCTCATTATAATTTTGCGTTAATTTCTAGGGATCTTTAAATACGGATTTTCAATTGACATCTGAGGCATGAGCTTATTCAGAGATCTGTCCCATGCTAACAGTATTTCTTACCAATTTCTAACATTAAGGAAAATGACTTACTCAAAATGCATCTTAATTTGATTTTCTTCAGCATATTTTGAAATCCCAGTAATAAATAAAGTGCGCTTCACCTACAGGGCAAAACACAAAAAGAAAATTTGTAGATGAAAAGAATCTTTTACATTTTACAAAGCAGTGAAACCAACTTCAGGTGCTGCTAGCCTTGGATTCTTATAACGTATCCTCTTATATGAAAAGTCTTTAAAAGGCAAACAGAAAAAAAGATGAAATGCTGCATTATAATTGAACTATGTCTCTTGTAATTCCCAAAATAGAAACATTTGACCTGAGTTTTCTGAGCACAAAGCAAAAAAAAACTAGAATTTTCATGCACAGAAACCAATCAACTGCTAAACAAGCTCCGTTTCCAATATCTTAAGAGTAAATGCAAGATTAACCACCGTATGGCTCATACGGAGACAAAAGAAGTAGCACTTAAAGAAAAAACTGTGGGACAGACTGCTGTGCTCAGCAGATAAATCACGAGCGCAGACAGCCAGCTGGGAGACAACCAGGAACCAGTGCTTCGGCCCTGGTGCGGCTCACCAGGTCGTCTTCTTTGTAGTGCATTTTGGAGGTGTGGCGCCTCATGCTGTACACTGTCAGTAGCAGGTAAAGGAAAGCAAATGAAGTGTGCAACCAGAGTAAGTTATTCCTGTTCAAGGAAAAAAGGACAATGTAATTTTAGTTCCTAAGATTTTAAAGTTATAGGCATTAACAACCCATTGACAGACCAAGATAGAGGATATGAAACCGACATCACAGCATCACATGAGAGAGTTATGGTAACTTCACTCTCAAGTTTCTTCCAGCTTTCTGACCGCGGTGCTGTTCTACATACACAGCTGGAGCTGTGGTATCACAGGGAACTGAGCAGTAAATCCTATCAAGTGGAGCTTGAGCAACAATGTTTTTCACAAATTTCTCATCAACACATCTTAAATTTTTAATTAAGCAAAAATAAATAAATTACAGATGCATGTTGTATTCAGATTTCCCATCAAGTGGTGTCAAAGAATTTGGACATTTTACTGTACATCACTTATTACTACCAAAGGTTAAATCAATTATATTAGGCCACATTTGGAATTAAGTGTGATATACTTACCCGGAATTTAAGTTAGCAATAGTGGTTCGTCCAAAGCTGTAGGCATTATTTTCTGTTAAAAAAAGAAAGTTTAAAGATTCAATCAATTGATCACCTATTATGTTTGATGTAGTGCAAATTAATTTGAACATCTGTAATCTCTGCAGTGCACTAGGCCTTTCAGAAGAAGTGTTCTATTGTGGAGGTTTTTTAAAGTGCTTGTTAATATTTCATGGACTTGAGAAAATAAGGCTCAATACGGTCTCAGTATGGTCTGCATTACAGGCACCTTGTCCCGGCAGTGCATGCTCTGTCATTCAAGACAATAGCTGAATCAGGGTCTTTCAGGACTCACTGAAATTACTGCTATTATCAATGCACTGTCAAAAGGTACCCATAGTCTCCCTTTAATTAAGAAAACTCTTAATTATTTCAGTGACACTGCATTAAGGAATGTAGTGCTGAACTGATGGATCAGAAACGAGAGAATTCACTGTGGCTGACTTTAGCAGCCTGGTATGATTGTAAAATTCATCAGTTAGACTACAAGAGTCCCAAGACTGACTAAGCACTGAAATCACCTTTAATCACATTAGCTGGTCCACCACTCAGTGAAGCTCACATTATGCATTAAAGTCAGATTAAAATTATTATTAATGGCTGACATGTTTTATTCAACATGACTTACATTTGCACCTATTTCCAGAGCTAGGTGGTTTAGAGGAATTGTTCTGGTGAAGCGTCTCGCTCAAGGGTACAACAGAAGTGTCTCGTGTGGGATCTGAACCCACAACCCTCCAAGCCTTTTCTTGGAAGTCTTAGCTGCAAGTCCAGAACCCTTAACATTGGTCCACGTTTCTATCATATAACTGAAAGATACCCCACATTTCAAGAAACCAGACGCAAGGTGAAGAAGACCCACCCAGCAGATCTCCTGAGAAGTTCACAGGCAGGACGATCCCCACAGAGAGGACCCCGACAACCACCAGCAGGCCGATGATGTGCCGCTGGAAGGAAAGGTAGTGCACAGCATCCCCTCCGCACTTCTCCCGGATCTCCTCATCCCTGAAGGAGAGTAGTGAGTCAGCACTTTGCACACCACCTGGCACTGCCTCAGACAAGCAGTGACTCAGCACGTTCCCCTTTACTTGGGACCCATCCCTGGCAATAAGCACTGCCTGCCCCCTGGGCTACTGAAGCTGCACTTCAGCTCTTCATGTAGAGCCAGAATTATCTTAACCAAAGTAGACTTACAAGTCTGTCCAGAAGTCCAGGACACAAAAAAGCTAAAATATACTGGACCTAAACCAAATACAAATACATTTCCACAGAAATATTGCTAACTCACAAATTCCAAATTAAGCTTGCAAAATTAAATTAAGCTAATTCTTCCAGACATGATCATTCTGCACCAAGGAAAGGACTGTCTTGCTCCACCCAATAAAGGATGCTGGCATGATGGTACGTTTTATTGATGAGCCTATGGAATTTATTTTTATTCCAGGTTTTCCCATTTCAATATAAAGAAACCATGTTTGTGCTGCTTTAAGAAGTTAATATCAGAGAGCAAATGAGTTTTGAAATTATTTTTCTGTCAGAGATAGTAACTAAGCAGTCTAAACATATGAGTGTTGTGCAGCAGTTCAACAATATATAAATCTATCTTTTCTATATTTGTTGAGATTACACTGAAAGACAGGGCTCAATATATTTTTTCATGCTGTAACTTACCTTAGAGACAGGCAAACTTACTTTATTCTGAAGATTGCGGTCAACCAAGAACAGAAACCCTAAAGCAAAGAGAAATGTTTTTAGTCATCTTCTGGGATTGAACAACCTGGGCAGAGTTTAAAATAAATTATATTACGTACAACAATCCCAGAATCCTACAACCACTTATATGGGTGCAATGTGATAGAAACATGGTTATAATACACTTGGCCTAAAAACTGCAGATTTTTACTCAGATTTAACAAACACAAAAACTGTTTATATTCCTGGACAGAGCTTTGTTGACATTTATCTGGTGTAAAACACTACTGATACTGAGAGAAGGAGTCGCAACAGCTCCAAATGACTGGAAGATCATCACTGTCTTGCTTTCTGTGCTGCCTGAACACTTGTGTGCCGTCAATGAAGGACACAGACTAAAGCCTACGGTTTCCTCCTCAGAGCCTGTGAGACAGCAGATGCGGACAAACATCTGCTTTCCTCTCTCCCTCAGACCGTGGCAGTTCCTGCCCTCTGGAGAGGACTAGCATGCAGCTGGAGGAAGAGGAAGACAGCCCTTCCTCTCGAGTGCCTTCTGGCGTAACACCTAGACCACAGACCGCTTAAAAAAACTTTAAGGAATTTTTCCAGTTTAGCATAACTCAAATTCAATTTTAACCCTACACTGGTGCAGTGTAAACTTATAATATTCCTATTATAAGTTTTTATTGCCATAAAATGTAAATTAATATATCGTACCAGTTTCATTACATGGCTCTCAGAGCACCTTTTAGGGCTGGGCGATAATTCGATAACGATAATTATTGTGATATAATTTTCCTCGATATAATATAACAAAATTTCGATAAGTGTTCGATATATATGTTTATGCTTTGCGTATGATATGCGCATGCACACAAAATACTGCACGAGTGCGCGTGCGTGTTGCAGACCGGGCAGCTAACGTGGTGTTGATTACTCACATGGTGGTGGCTGACAAGATTGTAGTTAAGAGTGGAGAAATGAGCGACACCGAAGCAAACATAGTGCTTGCTGCCAACGACCAGCTCGAAGGACGATGACATCGTCGACAGAATAGGTCATTCAACTTCGGTAATTTGGAGATATTTTGGCTTTTTACGATCAGACATCACAGAGCACTTTAAACTTTGCAGTCTGTCTGAGCCATCTTCTATGCGTGTTTTATCAGACTGCAGTATTTAATTTTTCTATTAAGATATTTATTTTGTAAATTTTACTCATGCATATTTTGACATAAAAAAGACATGGATACTCTCTACCTCAGATTTGTTTAATGTTTCTGCTGTTTGGCAAGTGTTTGTTGTGTTCTTAAAATAAAGAGTTGTTTAATTTATCAATTAACTGTCTGGTTTCTTCAGCTTTCACTCAGGAGAAAAAATCTGCCTTTAAACTTAAAAGAAATAATGATTTGACATTTATAGTGATAATAATCGATATCGACTGATATGAAAATTTTTATCGTGATAATGTTTTTGGTCATATCGCCCAGCCCTAGCGCCTTTTGTTAAAAACGTCAAGCTGGTGTTCGGACAAAAAGAAAATCTTGTAGCTACATCTCACAGCTCTAAATGGCATCATTTCTGAAGCTGCTGAAAGTGCTGAGTGTGACAATGAACCTGCTGTTGACTCCCACAGCATGACAAACAGTCAGGAGTGCGTGTCTGCACCGCAGAGCAGTGTACTGCAGTTCGCAGAGGCAGAGCCCTTAGGAAGCAGGACCTCTGTGTCAAACTGCTGAGCCAGCAGAACAAGACAATGTGACTGAATACTGCACTTCCCTCCCAGTCTGGTGAAGCTGTACAAGTTGCATATTACTAGTCTTCCACTAACAATCAATCCTGAAGTGTTCCCTCTAATCTCCTCCAGGGCGGTGAACTGCGAGGGAGGCGGGTTCTCCCAGCGATGAGGTCTGCATGAATGGACCGGTGTGGAGGACAGATCTCGCAGATCTCAGGCAGGACAGCTTCCGTCCTCCCGGCGCAAGGGAAGAGAAGCAGTCTGCGAAGCAGCTGCCAGAAGTCATGGGTATGAGAACCCAGCAGACTTACATTGTCTCTCTGATCAAAGTCCACTGAACTGGAGACAGATGTCAGTCGTTCATATCGATCCTGGGTTTCTGAGTGGAGAGCTGAGGCCACGCTGCATTCATAAAAGTGAAAATACACATAAGTCAGCTTATATGCAAACTGACCCATGGGGTCTCAATGTAGGTCTTTTACTGAGAATGTCGTCACAAGGCACTGAACCAGTCAGGAAGGCCTGGGTTAGAACTGTGGCCCAGAACACTTTGATCAGGTTTCAGATTTCAGAATCTGTAGGCTCCTAAATGATACAATTCATTTTGCCTAAATTTACACAGATGTTTCAATTTGAAGAAAGAAGTACAAATAATATAAAGCGCTTTGCTGTTCTGCAATTGCCTGAAACTGGGTTAACTGCTCTGCACTGGAAGCAGATAGTGTTCAAACATATCTGCAAACACTATTCACATATTTGAAGATTAGGTCATCCAATTCATCAAGGTGTCACCTGCTAAACACACCCAACAGCTATCATCCATTCAAATCAGTCAAACTCATCTGTTCCAGATCTCCTCAGGCTCCTCAAGAATGTCACCAGCAAAGGCTGAGAGACTCCCAAACAAGTTGAACTGAACTAAATAGAAAGTAGCTGGTATGGATTCAAACTTCATGTTTCTCACCTTGACAATTGTTTGAAAAGTCTTCAAACCTCAAGTATCTAAATAATACTGAGTGTCAGACTAATACTGCACAGGAATTTGAACCCGTGTCTGGATTGGGACCTGATGTGTTTCGTCTGATGTGAGTACAACTGGGCGTTGCTTCAGGACACCCTTAGAGTTTTTCGTGGCCACAATGCTAATGCTTCACTTTAAAGGACGATGTGCAGTTGAAAGTCTGTTAAGATCCTTAATAAACGGCATTTCCCATGGCTTCTCAGACACATTTCATGCAATGTTTAACATTTTCAGTTTTAACAATAGAATAGCCGCAGCAAAGATTCTAGTCGTAGGTGTGAGGTGTTAAAGTTATTTGAATCTGAGAGCAGAAAGCTATTCAGCTTTTTCCACAGCCTCCTGTCAAGTACATTCGGCAGAAACCAGTTCTTTGCTCCATACTGTTTGAGAAAAGGCAGAGACATATGAAGAAGACAGTATTAGTCTTTTGACATGCTTTCAAGGTACAATCTGCACCCTAGAGGTGATCAGAGATCACACCAAACACTACAGCAGGAGTGTTTAATAAACACAGTGCAAGTTGAGCTAAAAGGCAGCTTACAAAACATTTCACATTTTCGTGAACATGTTTTGAATTAAAGAATTAAATTTATCATTATTATCAGTTCTGTGCACTCTACAAATCAAAGTGCAAAGGATTCAATTTTTTTTTTCCTAGTGATTCTAAATAAGACGCAGTTTAAATATTTTGAAGCCACTGCAGGGAATCTGAAAGCTCAATTTAACTGCAGCACACAGCCCTTGCTTGGTTTCCTGCTCAGTTTTTTTAAACACGTCCTACTGTACAGAAAGTGAAAGCACTAGACAAAGACTGAAATCAGCTATTAATCCTTAGGTGGGAAAGAGAAGGTTTCAGAGACTGAAGGTTAGCCGGAGGTATGATCCAGTATTCCGATTTAGAAATGATACAACAACAGAAACAGGTCTGGAATGAGCTCATAACAGCAATATGAATATTGCCTCCAAACATTTAAGGCTACTTGCTCATGAGGTATGCATTACAAAGGGTGTGCACTCCTCTGGGTGCAGGTATCAGATCAGTAGTAGGATTAGTAGTGGTGGTGGACAACTGGCTCTTGGGTATTCAGTTTGACAGGAACCACAGAGTCTGCACTGTTAGCAGTGAAAGCTACATCGGTCCTCCACCAGGTGCTCTCTATTGCGGGAGCTGTGCTGGGACGCGTCACTGTGTGAAAAGAGGTAGATGGTTCCAAAATGTATATTTCTGAGGATGCAGGCCAGAAAAACAAATAGCTATGCCAAAATTAAAAAGCAGAGATGTACATTTGTGAACAAAGCTTTGGATCCTCAGCCAATAAGAATAAGACAATCAGAACTGTACAGTAGAAACCAGTCGTCAGGAGCACACACTTTAAAACTACTGGGCTGGTTTCATTGATTGCTGGACAGCCCAGAGTTCCCCATCATGTTGAAAAGGCTCCCAGTGTAATCAAACAATGCTGGAAAACTAACTTGAACGATGAAAACAACCTGCCATCCATTCAGAAATGTTTCAGGCAATATTTCAGCAACAGCACAAACCAGCTCCTGAGATCTGAAGTAAAGAAACTGAGGTGAAGCAGAAATAAAAGACAAACGTGACTCCCTCCTGACCCACACCCGTCAAGCTTAAAAGATGGAAACCTATTTCACAAGAAAGCTGGGAAAAAAGAGAAAGAAATAGAATCAGTCCAGGAGAGAAGTGAAAGGTGTAAATGTTAAAACATTAAAAGAAAACATACTATTCCTGTTCCTCCAGGCCGCTGAACCTTTTCCTCTGTCTTCAGGGCAAAACAAAACAGGGAAAAAAAGTTTTTAACAAGTATAGCAATCAGGAACATGACAATAAACACTGACAATACATAAGCTTAACCTATTCCCAGGCAAAGTGAGGTGACCAGCAAGAACCATTACACAGCACAGACGCATTTTATAGGACCAAGACCGAAGCAGCAAAGGGAAATTGAAGATCAATATTCTATTTCCCCACAGTACCTCAGCACTGATGTAAAAGGATTAAATCTGCTTCAGTCCACCGTTCACCTTGCACTATGTTTCCCGGACAGAGGGAAGGGCAGGGACATCTGTCTGTGACTGACTTGGCAAGACTACGCCGTGTGTCATCGTGGACTGTTCTTCTAGTCCATATATATAAACCACTGAAGACAGCTCTGTACGTTTTCACAAAACTCTTCTTCTGGCAGGTGTCCAAGGGTACAACAGAGTAACACTCCCCCTAACTGAAAACACAGCACACTACCTTTTAACCTTTAAAGTGCCAGGTGTGCTCTTCAACGTTGGTAAAAATATAGAGAGGAAGAACATTTTCTCCTCGGAGCGCGTTACTTGTCTTCTAAGGGTGTCCAGTTTTGCACCTTGGAAACTTGATTGAAAATAATACTTTTAATCAATATGTTAACTGAGCGGTGATACTGACAATGGTTTTCATTATATGTTAAATTATTTATACTAAGCATAATGTAGTATAAAGATTATATAATAAAACAGTACTAGTAATGTAGTATGTATAGGTAGAAGACATAAGTAATCCTCCCTTATATGACATTTAAAGCACTAATGCATTGTCTATAAGTTAATTAAAATTATAATGATCAACTAAAATGAAAACAGTAATCACAAACTCATTGCAAAAAGATAAATACACATCATGAATCACTCCTCTGCGTCCAGTGCGCACCTGCAGTTTCTCTCTGCTGGACAGCTAATAACCCAGCTCCGTGAGGAACACTACACTACTACTGAAACAAGACACCACTGAGGTGTGACTGCGGGGTACTTGGGCAGGGAGCAGGGAGAGGCTCACTCACCAGCTAGCTTCATCTCATCATCCTCGTCTGCTGCACCGTTAATCTGACAGGCTTCGACTCGGTTTCGTCCCACTCTACTCTTGCAAGCGTCTCCATGCAAGACCCCGTTGGCCAGACCAAATCACGAACAAGCGAATTCACGAATGTCAAATACGCAGATGTAGTTATGCATATAGACACAACTGTACTTGTAATCCTTGAGCTGCCTGGAAGGTACCCATCTTCAGTGTTTATTACACATCCTAACGCATGCGATAGTTTGAATCTACCCACCAACCGGCAGGCTGGGCTGCTCCCATGGGGAACAACTTAGTGCAAGAATTTCTTCGCACAGAGTGAAACCTGCTGTCCACTACAGGCCGAGAGCTTAAATAATACAAAGCAATTCTGAAACATAATACATACTAACATACTAAGCAATAGTGTTTCTGAAGGAACAAGTAATAGATTTATTCCTAGAGAAGAAAGAAAACACAATGTTTTGGCTGTGGAGCCTTCTTTGGGTGTAAGCACCAGTGCAACAGTGTTTCTGTCCTACCGTGTCTTTCGGGGGGGGGCAGCAGGTCGAGCTGTTGAGCAGCTTTTTCTCCACACATAATAGTGTGGGGCTTACCTGCTTTAGCAATCCACAAGCTTGCATTTTTCCGCGTTTCCGTTTTTATTTCTGTATTTATTTTAAGTTTTTATTTCATGCACATGGGAGCGAAACACAAAAACGCTCTATGTATTTTTCTCAAATTAACTTAGAACAGTTCTTAAATATTTATCTGTTATCTATCACGCTTTCCTGTGCTCACAAGATTACGTAGCACGTATTGCTATGCATTCCTGTGTTTACGACATTGGCATTGTTCCAAAATCACGCACATTCTCCTACCTCCCTACTTGCTGGAGATAGCTTTTGTTTTAAATACAATCGGTCACTTGCATCCATAGCACGCATTCCTATAGAGTGGTACAGAATTACATAGTAGCTCTGTGTCCACCGAAGTATTAGCGCGCACTGTATCGTAGTACGTACGCTGCGTAATCGACACGTATTAAAATAGAAAATAAGAAAACCCGTCCTGATTTTTCAGCGCCCACAACAAAGTTTCAGGGTCATATGGCGTACCACAGTTTGAGAACCACTGGATTAAAGTATTCACAATCCATAAGGGCACTGACAAACTCAACCTGCTGGACTTCTTCAAAACCAACAGTGAAACACAAACCAGAGGACACAAATGGAGACTACAGGGAAGTGAATTTAAAGAACAAGAGACACTTCTTTACACAACGGGATGTGGGAGTGTGGAACAATATCTCCAGCCATGCTGTTAAAGCCAAAACCTGGCTTCTTTCAGGAAATGGTTGCATAAGGTCCTCTGATCAGTTAGCTAGTAGTAAAAACAAAAAGAGCTAGATGGCTCTATTTGTCTCCTCTTACTTGCAACCTTCTTTATGCTCCTATAAATAGATGAGCAGGGCGTGGTTTAGGTTGACAAGAGGCAGGTTACAGGAAGTTTACAGCAGACTGGATAGTAGGAGACTTTAAAAGCAATAATGAAATTAAATGTGTGTATTGAGTAGCCCTGACCGTGTGCATGAACTCTGCCTCCTTCAGTGCTTTTACAATGGATGTGTCAGTGAGGCCTGTCACATTATCAACAGCAATTTCTAATTTAGCTGAGGGAGGCGGTTATCATCAAATAAACTGGCATTTTTTTGCAGGTCCCTTATATAACTACATCGCACAGTGATGGACAATTGTAGAATACTATTCAAATGAAAAAAAATGGAAAAACTGTTAAAAATACTTTAAAATAAACAATAAAAACAATCAGAACTCCTCACTGGCATCTTTTGTCTTTTGGATATGCAGAAATTGGCCCTATTCTTCACAGGAAAAAGTTTGCAGTAAATGGCTGTTAATTCCTCAGGGCGCAAAGCATCCCTCCAATCTGACAGGCGAGGTGAGGACAGGATGCTTCAGGAGCAGAGCTCCCTGGGGGCAGGATGCACAGTTCCAGGATATCTCATTATGCAGCAGCCCAGCTCTTGCAGTGTCAGACGTGACTGGACACTTGTCCCAAGACTTCTGTCTGCTCCCCTCCCCCCGCCATCTGTTATCCTTGGGGAAGAAAGCATGCCCTCCTTCTACAGGCCACTGTGGACAGTAGCTGCAGTTCTCATCAGCAAGCTGATGAACAATTGCTCTGTTTGCAGACAGCACTGGGCATTCGGACAGTGATTCAATGCACACAAGATCAAGACATATCTTGTTTACTGGGACAGCAGTAGGGCTAAAAAATGATATTTTTTCTCAAATGCCAATTCTCTAGTCAGGGAAAAGTAACGAAATTACTAATTTCTGAAGCGATTTCTCACAATATACTGCACACCTGGCACCTTCTAGGCTGCAGGAATATGAACTGCACTGGATCTGAGCCCCAGACCTGAACTATCAGCTTCTGTCTGGCAATGCTCTGAGAGAGATCTCTTTAGGAATCAAGGCCGCAAATCAGAAAACCAGACAAAGTATGTTCTTCATATCCTACTGCATAAACTGACGTGATGGGAGTGTGCAAATAGTGTGCATCACATGCATCACATGCATCACAGCTTGGCCGTAACTGGGCACGTTTGCTAACCAGAAGGCCTCCAGGTGCAACTGTGCTTCTGCAGGCATGAGGTAACAAAGCTGCACCAAACTGCCACTGCGCTCCAAACCACATCGGGACGACTTCATTTCTGCACTGCTTACAGATTTGGTTGGTGTAATCAGGAGGCCGTGTGGCTCACTTTGCTCACTTGGTTGCTAGTAACTAATCAAAGGATCTCACACAGCTTGAAAGAAACCAGAGTGTTAGCTCTGAAACCATGACTGGGTAATGTGTTTCAGCCTCCTACAACCCTTTGTGTAAAAAAGGGTCAATCAGACATAAGACATTTATTTATTTACAGCCTGTTAAAGAAGTTGCAAACCAGTGGTATTCAAAGTCACATTAGCTGACAGTGTGCATGTATGTGTTAAGGGACAGTTTTGTCACTTAGAAAGGCACCGGCATCAGGGTTTCACAACCCTCCGTACAATGTAAACTGTATCACTTCTAACTTCTAACTGCAGTTCTGAAAAACTGATATTCTTTAACATTATAGTATTTTTATTTGTCACATAATGGCAATTCTTTGATCTTACTGAAATCGCAGTAGAAGGCACGTGTACCCTTCACCTTCTTCAATATCTTTAAATATTTTAAGGAAAAAAGGAAGTTAGATTATGAACATGTATATAATATGTATTTTTACTCAGTGTGAACACTTAAAAAGTCAGAAGCAATCTGCCATGGCCAGGCTTGTGTCTTGGGGAAAAAATATACGATGAGAATCATACAAATGAATATTGCTCCTGAGTGCTATTTGCAGATGAAACTTCAGTTTCATGGATCCCAAATATTAAGACCAAGAAAAGATGTTCTGTGAACAAATAACATCTGTTTCTGTTTCAGCCACTTCTGAATATCACATACAAGATGACCTAAAAGAACTTTAAACTAAAGCTTCTCACTGGACCAGACTGCTTCTAAAGAGGACTCCAGCTACAGCAGGCTATATCACTACACTGGAATACAGCAGGAATGATTAACTTTTTGATTAAATACAATTACTTTAGTTTTGATATGCAATTAAATAAGAAAACAACAATAAGATAATCACTGGTGTTATTTTTGAAGGAATTAAAACAGATTTATTAACTATTATGCAAGAGGACTCCTTTTACATTGCTCTAAATACAAACTTTCACATCTTCACTCAGGGTTGAACCCAGATCAACAAAAATCAATTTCCAGTTAGATACTATTAGAATATGCCTAAAAAGGCACAGACTGCCGAGATGTCCATCACTGTGTGGATAAATTGTTAAACTCAACCACTAGAATAAGTGAACATTTACATAAAAATGAAATAGTGAGTTCACAAAGAAATAATGAGCCCTTCATATGTGATGTGCAACTGAATGAACATCTCTTCTTGGTGTTTAAACCTTTGGACAGCTTATAATATGCTTGCTAACCAGTTAAGAAGGAGGGCTCACATGAGCTCAGCAGTTGACTATTTGGTATCACCAATAGCTTACCCACCCCAAAACCGAATTAAAACAACACACCCAGGTGTTGCGAGAGTTACCTGTCTGCATCCGTCACTAAGGCTAAGCGCCCGTAATCCCAGGCCACCTTTCTTAAAATGGAGAACACAAACAGCAGAACCTGTAAGTAAAAACAGAAAATGGAGCTGTCAGTTCCAAGCTCAAGAAAACAGCCTATTTCTTTCCACAGTTCATTAGCTGCTCTGGGCTCTACTTATGCAGAGGGAAGATCTCTGCAACTGATTTTCAGAAAGCCTCTTTAAGGTTTTGTACTAGGCTAATTTCCAGCTCCTTGTCATCGAGGCACGTCGGCTAGTTCTCGTCTGTACTTGACAAATCACGTTTACACGAAGTACTCTGGACAATCAAAGATGGAGTCATTTTCTAGCAGTCTGACTGCGCAACTAATCTCCAGGCCCGTTACAGCTTGTTCGGGCGCCTCGCGACTCACCAGGAAACACATGAAATCGAGGGCGAGCACAGTGGGGACCCCGCCGAAGGGCAGCCCCTGCAGCACTGTGCTGCGGATGCGGGCGGAGTAGCAGTAGTCCCTGGACGTGTTGGAGGCTTCTGCCAGCCCACCCATCGTCGCGATCAGCACAGGGAGCATCCTCACTTCCTCATCCTTCGCACCTGGGGAACAACCAGACAGTGTGAGAGGAACATTATGAGAAGAGCAGAGGACCTGCAGGAGCTCACCTGCCCCACAATCCCACCCACACCATCGGAGTCTTCAACACGACCCTGTCCCAACCTCTTCCTTTCACCCTTGAACCCGAAGCAGTGCCTCTGTCCAGGCTGAAGAAAGAAACAGTCCCCCAGTCAAATAAGCTGTCCGAAGTGTAGCGTGAATAGTGACCAGTACCAAGACTACCTGAGGAGAGTGTGACCAAACCAGAGAAATCCACTAGTAACAGAACAGCCAAAATTTAAAATATTTTAACTACAATGATGAAGAACCAATATTCTGTTTATTCCATGTGAATTTCTTTCACTGTAGGTGGAGCTTTAAAAAATTGTTATGTCTCACAGTCCTGGAATAAGACAGCATAACAGGGTCAGGGCTTTCCTTTGTATTTTGAATCGAGGGGCAAACCACAGCAGATGTTAAAGTGTTGAACAAAGGGAACTAAATAAAACGAGATTTTTTATGTCTATCGTCCTTGATCACATAAGTTATAGCCAAACTTCTATGGCCTTCCCCCTTCCTCTGAAGAGCTAGTCCTGCCCCAGAGAGATGAACAGAAATAAGAGATGTTTAAAGGCCTAATTAATAACCTTCCACAGACTAAGAAACTGAACTGGAGACAAACAACCAAAAGTAGACCTGGCCAAGTGACACACACGTCTCTCTTGTATCTGCACCTGGTTGGATCTTACTGTGCAGCAGTCCTAAACTTTACTGTGCCGCCCCTGCAGCCAAACCTGTGGGCTCCCACCTGCGCAGCCCTGCAGCCAAACCTGCGGGCTCCCACCTGCGCAGCCCTGTAGGGTGGTAGTTTTATAGCCGACTTGACAGTATGATCAACACCAGACCATATATAAACATATATACACAGGTGTGAACCAAAAATACTAAAAATGCCTTTTTTACTTCAAGATATGTATAGGTCACCAGCCATTTGGATGATCTACTGCATTTTATACACTCTGGCATTTTACTATGGAAATGCAGAAGTGATTCCACTTTTTTAAAGATTTAAAGCAAGAAAAGGAATTACAATCAGAAAAAAAGGGTGTGTGCATGTTTTATGAAGAAATAGACAGGGCGTGACTTCACCTGAAAACCAGTGAAATGAAACTTTCACCCCAGTTACTTGAACATTATATAAAACAGATTTTAACAGGCTTTAAACTGCCCTCCTCTTACCTGAGCTTTCTGTCACAGCATGGTTACTCTTTCAAAGACTCCAGGAATGTGTCCTAAAGAGTGCTGCAGACCCTGCAGCCCAGCTCTGCTAGGCAATCTGCTTCTGTGTCTTTCTGCTCACCTGCTCCTCAGCTGCCTGCTCTCTTCTCCTGAATCTCAACTCTCTCAGGACACATCCTCTGACTTGAAGGCTCACTGTACTGTCTACTAATACAGGATGAACGCCTCAGCTCTGTCAATGCTAGCCTAGATAGAGTATCGCCACTTCAGGTCACATCTCCAAACAAACACCATGAAGGAAGATCGACAGACCAAATGATATTCAAGCCATCTGTAACCCATAAACCACAACACAGGGACTCACAAACAGAGGCTAATCATGAATGAAGGTGCTTCCTGACCACTGGATAATCATTGGGCACAAGAATGCAGTCCTCCTGCTCTGACAGAAGAGTTTCCTTGTACTCATCACACCTATCCAGTCCTTTGCACAGCATTGACAGAGCTGAGCCTCTGCTGTTCACTCTGTTCCTGGTCCAATCAGGCTCTACACTCAGACAGCGGCCAGGGCGTCGTCGTCACTCTGCAGTATTTAAGGTGACTTACATCGCCACCTTGGGCTTGTTTGACAGTTCTTTCTGGTATTGCACACTATACAAATACACAGTCAACTGTGAGATTAAAATGATTGAGATTTAAACAATGTTGCACTGAATAAAAGTGGTTGGTCAAATAAGTATAAAAAAATAACAATGGAACAACACTCAAAGTCCTCTCATTGTAAAATTTAGTGCTAACAATAAGAATTTAAACTTCGTAACGCCACACTTTAGGGAGCCTCCTGGGTGACTCAACCAGGCACAGGCTGTGCTGTACAACCGCAGGTCAGTACCTGGGTCCCAGCATGAGCAGGGTGATATGCCAGCAGCCATATCACCCTGCAACTCACAACTGGCAACCCACTGAAGCTAAGCAAGTGTGAGCCTGGTCAGTACCTGGGTGGGAGACCTCCTGGGAAAAACTAAGGTTGCTGCTGGAAGAGGCGTTAGTGGGGCCAGCAGGGGGAGCTCACCCTGTGGTCTATGCGAGTCCTAATGCCCCAGTATAGCGACAGGGACACTATACTGTAAACAGGCGGCGTCCTTCGGATGAGGCGTAAAACCGAGGTCCTGACTCTCTGTGGTCATTAAAAATCCAAGGGTGTTTCTTGAAAAGAGTAGGGGTGTAACCCCGGCGTCCTGGTCTAATTTCCCATTGGCCCTTAACAATCATGGCCTCCTAATAATCCCCATCTATGAACTGGCTTCATTACTCTGCTCTTCTCCCCACTGAGAGCTGATGTGTGGTGAGCGTTTTGGCACACTATGGCTGCCATCGCATCATCCAGGTTGATGCTGCACATTGGTGGTGGTGGAGGGGGTCCCCATTACCTGTAAAGCGCTTTGAGTGGAGTGTCCAGAAAAACGCTATATAAGCGCAAGCAATTATTATTATGAGCTGAGACATGAAAAAGCACAACTGGCTATTCCAGATTGGGTGGGTAGAACAAAAATAACTGGTATTTCAAAAATTAAAAATTTAACATGCTGTCGCTGCATTCCTCAATTCGTTTTTTAAATCTGTGTGCTTGGTGGGTGGGTGCTGCCAGCTGTGTTGAGCACAACTGTGGCCTCCAGCTCTATTTCTCATCTTGGCTCTTTCATTTTGCTCTGCCTCCACGACCTGATCGGTCCCTCCTCTAATACCCATCTGCTCTCAAGCTGCTGCAGCAAAACAAGAACACAGAAAGTCAGAAGAGGGAAGGACGGCTTTTCAGCGGAACCAGAACTGCAAGTCATGTGCACATGCTCTTTCGGAGTGCAGGAAGACCTACTTTTAGGAAAAAGGTCATTTTTAAATTTCTAGAAACCATTCTTGGCATTGGAAAAAGCATTGCTGACTAAAGATAACCTTTAATAAGATTCTTCTTCTTCCTATTATTATTCCAAAATTACCTTGGAGAAAGTTCCCGGCATAGTGAACAGCCTGGAATGTGACAACAATAATTAGATATAATTAGAGACTTTACATTCATCAGAATAAACACGACTGTAATATTTTTGCAGAATCCAAATGAGGTGCCTCTTGGCACGAGATGAGAACGAAAGCTCATTATAAGTGCCAATCAGCAAAAAACTGCATTTCACCTCTTCAGAAATCTTTCACTGCTTATCTCTTCAATTTCCTGTCTCTCACTGAGGGCTCATGTGTGCTTTTTATTTGTTTTCACAGCAGCAAGCACTCATGAGGCAGGTACAGCTGCAGGCTATCTGTGAGCAACTGCAGTTGACTCGGTAACTCTGATGACCTCACTCACACAGCCCGACTCCAACACAGGCAGGAAATACCTGCTCCGTATCCACATGGAAACAGAATGCAAACAGAAAAGAAAACAGTAACGACAAACAAGAGCACAGCCATACTGTTGTAGGAGAGCACCGAGAACAATCGTTCACTACGTCTACTGCTAATCGTCTGACAGCTCGCTGCTTTTCCAATTTGTGCTATATCCTCCCACAGCATATGGCTGAGTGTTCAAATGCACAAAGATCACAAAATCTGATTTTACAGTGGTGTACAAGCAATTGTGATTATAGGCCATGCCACAGTTTGCCCATCTGTGAGCTGAATGTTACGACTGAGTGAAAATTAAATCACAAATTAATTTTATCTCATGCTGTACATAAAAAGCCACATTCCACAGATGAGATTATATGATATGATCATTATTGCTAATTCTGAGATGGAAACAGAGTTTGAAAAGGCGACTTAGGGATGCCAACAATAAGAGAGCACTCAGCCCCTTCAGCTAGTTTGGTTGCCAGTAGCTAATTAATCTGAGGATCAATTGAAAGAAGCCAGGGTAACAAGTTGCAGACTTGCACAACCCTACTTAACACCCTACTGAAATCCTGTCTACTCTAATTGGCACACCTGCACAACCCGAGCACAACCTGAACCTGACAGTCCTACATTTCTCTGCCCTGTGTATCGGTAAGACGAAGCCAACACCATCCTCCAAACTCTGACCTGCATGTGGCGATCAGTCCACACAGAGGTGTGGGTGTCTGTTCTGTTTATTGGAATTAATCAATACTGGAGAGAGGTGCTGCTGTGAACACTGCGCAATGCATTAAGGTGCTATAATTCCTGGTTTCTGTATGACCCCCTTGCAGTTCTTAAAAGTTAGCCTGTGGAGCGAACCGTCAGACTTAATATACCTTGTGGCAAACCCCAAGCAGAGAACAGCTCCAGGCAGGTTTATTCTGAACAAAGCCAGTGCTAATGCTCTTGAACTCCCTGGCCTACAGCTCTGAGGAGCTCTGGCTCTTTCCTCAGTGCTGAAATGTCAGCCCCTCCCTGAAACCTGACAAGAGGCTCCTCCTCATATCTATGTATAAAACTATCATGTTGTGCGGTACTAAGACAAAGGAAACTTCAGTTTAGGTAATTAAAACTTAACTTTGTATTGTAAAAAATACATTTAGCATATTTCTGTATTGCTAGAAAAAACTGCTAAGAGATCCATCTCATTTGTATCTATTTCATACATAAAGTTCCACAGACATGTGTATGTACTCAAGAAAAGGAAAGCAAAGGAATTTCTTTGGGTTTCCAATCTCTGTAAACCTTTAAAGTAGTGTGTGGGTATGAATATATAAATAATTTGTTTGCTTTCCATCACGTAAACTTAAACAGCAATGACAATATGAATACTGAGACA